ATATAGATTACTAATGTCATAATCGGTAAAAACATTGGTGAATATACCGTAACATTTAATAAATCTGGTAAACCTATAAGGTAAACATTATATTTGCATTAGTTAGGTATTGTTTTAGGTTTAACTGATTACAAGTAGAAAGTAACAGCAAATAGTCTACGTTGCTCATTAAATTTTATGACAGCTGTAGTTAAGTTCGATTTAATAGAGGTAAGTTTTTTAACCGATAGCACTCGCAAGGTAACCTACAATCAGCTGAGACGTTTGGTTTAAAAACTTCTAAGATTGTTAGCAAACTCTCCTGTCCATTAACCCTGTTAGTCTTGTGAGGCTGATGTGTAAACGATTGAGAAAAATGACGATTAATTGAAAATTGGTAGCCTTGACAGATATTACTTATATTTTACATTAGTACAGCTCAAACTTATAACAACGTTAAATTATAATACACCTACGTTAAGTCTTACAAGTTATCACTGTTTTAGTCTAATTCGTGTAGTCCTAAATGCTATCGTATCATTTTGTTTTGGTACAGTTAAGTTGTGGTTGTAAAATTACTAGTTACCTTTTTGGTCTAATTTGGAGAATTTGTTCCTTAGAATTTAATATATTTGTATAAAACAAGTAGGAAATATTGGCATTATAAGATAACCTTTATAACCATTATAAGATAACCTTTATAACCATTATAAGATAACCTTTATAACCATTATAAGATAACCTTTATAACCATTATAAGCTGAGTAGACGTATGGTTTACGATGTTTATCTATTCCTTATTTCTTGCAGAACCGTAGGAAATGACTTTTATTGTGCTCCTATAATATAGAAGGGTTAAAACAGTTTATTTATTCCATGTAGGCGTCCACCTCAGCATATTTTAACTAGTAACATAGTAACTTGTAATATTACATATTAACCGTCTTTCTTGTAGTAATAATATCTTTAAATATATTTTTATCACAATCAACGTAACGATTAGTTACAGTGATATCACGAACAAAATACACACAAAAAATCCGGTTCGCAATATCAGGGAGAAAATCGTATGGAAATTAATAGTTTTTTTTGTAACTTTCGACCTAAAGGAGAAACTTCCATTCCTCGTACTAAAACAGGAAATACGTTTGTCTCATTAAAAAATGTTTTTGTTTTATTCGTACATGTAAAAAAATGACGCTTCATTATAAGTCCAAAGATTAAAAAACATTGTCCAAAATGTTGGTAAGCCAAACCTTGAAATGAGTGAAAAAACGTGTGTTAACACGTATGCTATTGGGAAGTTATTCGGGCAGCATAAGCACCTGAAAATGCGGTTTTTTACGAGTTTAATATTTTTCTTAACAGATTTCATTCACTCACTACTTCAGTACAGTTACAAGCTTGTAATGTGAACACATTTAGATATATTTCAAATGTACACTCTATTCGTTTCTTTCTTTGTTTTGCTTAAAATAATACAATAAAAGCTTTTCGTACTTTTACTCTGTCCATTTTCACTTCGGGAAAACAAAAAGAATTTAAGCAAACATTTGAATGAGTACAGAAATTAAAAATACATCCAACAAAGGCAAACATACAGAATCCGCGATATTTCAGTGATAAGCTTATGGTTTGTTATTCACATATTGATTACTCACACCTTACAGCAGGGTGGTGGTGGGGGGTATTGTTTTCACTCCACTGTGTCAACAGTATAACTAGAAGAGTTTTAATCTAATTTTGATAAAATTTGATACAAGGATTGAGTGTCAATTTATTAATATTTTGGTGAATGTAGCTTAAAAGCCAAGGTTACGCTGAAGGTCAACCAATTTCATTATAACGTTAACAAACTGTGATTTTGAAAAACAGTCAAAGCTCGAGAACAGTCTGAGGAATAAAGAAGATTTTGGCACCTAGACCCAAATTTTTGAGGGTAAGGAATTGCTTGGTGTATATTTTAGATTGGTTAACGTTTTCCAAGTGTTTTTTCTAGTTGTATTTAATTAAAATTATTGAAATATGTATATTAGTTTAAAAAGTAACAGTTTATTCTTTAGGACATTATGTCCGTAGTATCTTGGTGTTCATTGTGCAAGTTTCGGTATTTTCGGTGAAACTGGTGTATATTTTCGGCCCGGCACATCCAAAATGACAGGGTACGAACATCATAAACACGTTTAGCAAATTTGAAACGAGATCTCACGGTGTTTCCTTACAGTAACTTGACAGAGAGGAATAGTAATACAAGAATTATTTAAAAACTTGGAAAAATAACAGGCTGCATTTCTCTTCTTGTAATATTAGATTATCAATAAAGTATGTAATTATTTCCCGCAAGTTTTAATGTTGGTTTATTAAGCTTTCAATGGTTTATGCTGATTATTAATTAACACTAAATCAGAAGGTATTTTCTCCTCACAAATAGAGATTACGCCCAATCATTATGCAACGAATCCTATCTATGATACCACTGGTTACACAAATTATGTGACTTGCATACTGATTCATACCGACTATATTCTATTCTTTACGTCAGAGTTTGCTCTACTTAAACGTTGGTTAATTCCGTTTCAAATCTATTAAATCCACGATAGTAATTATTACATCCACTACAAACATGGTCCTGGGAATTTAATAGTGTTAAGCTAAAGCATTTCCCAGAAAACTAAGTAATTGATCATTTAGTCGAAATATTTGTTTTTAGTTGGAGTTTTAGAAAACTAAAGCAATACTCGAAATAATTGATAATTTAAGCTGATTACAATTATGTACTAGGTAAAAAAAATTATTCACATTTTTTTTTTTGCTGAATCACCAATCTCATTTCAGGTTTAAGATAAAAGTTCACGACTTGTTCCAATGTGTTGTTTTCAAAATTCAAATATTTATTTTACATCTTTATATAAACTAGTAAATTTGGGCAAACGTATCTTAAAGTATATAGATATGTTTTTATAGATAACACACCTAGTTTTCACAAATAAATTAACAGATAGAATATTGAGTATGATGTTAGAAAGTAAGTATTAGAGTATAATATATTTACATTTATAGAATTTATATACCCTGTCATCCAAAATAAAAACTAATACAATACCAACACAACGTATAAAAAGAAATAACTTCTGTTTATACCTTTTTAATGTGTTTGTTTGAAATAGCAAACGAAACAATATGTATGTTTGAGATACTTCTAAATATTTAGTCTATATGTAACATAAGGTAACTATTGTTTGAAACGCTTTTACGCCAATTCAAATTATCTTTAAAGGAAAAAGTTTTTCTTTTTAGTTAGAAATAGTTTATTTTTTTAAATACAATATATCTGAAATATAGTTTGCACATGAACTGGTGCTTTGAATAATAAATATTTAAGGAAGAAAATAAATTTTACCTCCGTTTCGTCATGCATCTGAAATTTCACTCCTGTGTTCGATAGTTCCATCTTGTTGAATTTATCCATCTGCAATGTCCTATTAGTTTTAGTGTTTCATATTTTTCTATACTGAACTATCGTCCAATCATTACCCTTCTTATATGTGAAATAAACCCGAATTATCGTGTAATGCCTTGTTTTAGTTTATAACTTGGTGCTCTCACAGCAAAAAAAAAAAAAACGATAAATCACATGACGTGACATTATTCACAGCATTCACCTCTACAAGCATTTGAAGTCGAAGCTAAGCCTATGCTTATATAATAAGGATTGAAAAAATACGTTCGTTAGTTTACTTCAACACTTGAAGGACTAAACAGAAAATTCAGGAAATATATATTACTAAATGAAATATACATAAACCGCCCAGTAAACTGGATATGAAATGGCTTAATTTAATAATGTAGCTATCATAAAAATATATGTATATTAGAACTATTCATAATTTAATAAGATAAAATAAATCCAGTTTGTGCAAAATAAAAAAATGTTGGTCAAAAAGCAGTGCTTCTCAACCTTTTCCAATATCATTCACCCCTATAAGTTTTTCACAACAGCTCACTCACCCGAGTTCGAAAAAAAGACAAAAAAAGTACTAAATTAAAATGCAAAATTTATATGCATCAACAAAACCCCTGGGCGAACCATTCAACCAGTTGAGAAGCACTGCCCTATGGAACAATAAAACGTTATATGTATTTATATATATCACAACTAAAACAACAGTCACCCAGGTAATGGAACGAGGGTGTCCTAGTGGTTAGTATACCATAGCTGTGAATTCGAAGGTTCACATTTCGCGTCTCACTGCTGCAAAAATGTGCTGCGTATTTTGAGACAGTAGATGAGAGAGCTAGTCATGTGTGCTGTACCTGTCATATTGGCTAGCGATAAGCACCAATATGTGCTGTACCTGTCATGTTAGTCAGCAATAGGCACCCATGTGTGCTGTACCTGTCATATTGGCCAGCGATAGGCACCATTATGTGCTGTACCTGTCATGTTAGTCAGCAATAGGCACCCATGTGTGCTGTACCTGTCATATTGGCCAGCGATAGGCACCATTATGTGCTGTACCTGTCATGTTAGTCAGCAATAGGCACCCATGTGTGCTGTACCTGTCATATTGGCCAGCGATAGGCACCATTATGTGCTGTACCTGTCATGTTAGTCAGCAATAGGCACCCATGTGTGCTGTACCT